AAATCTCCCAACAAAACAAGTCTGAGACCAGATGGTTGTAACATGGAATTCTATCAGAATTTTAATGAAGACCTCATACCAATACTCCTCAAATATTTCCATATTAAAATAACAAAAGGAGCACTGTCAAACTCTTTTTATGAGGCTACAGTCACGCTGATATGCAAACCATACAAAAATGCAACGAAGAAAGAGAATTACAGACCAATCTTCCTCATGAACATTGATGTAAAAATACTCAGTAAAATACTAGCAAACTGAATCCAAGAACACATCAAAAAAATCATCAACCATGATCAAGTCGACCTCATTTCAGAGATGCAGTGATGTTTCAACATATAAAAATCTGTCAATGTGACCCAGCATTTAAACAAATTGAATGAAAAAAAATAACATGGTCATCTCACTAGATGTTGAAAAAACTTTGACAAAATCCAACAATCCTTCATGATAAAGATCTTAGAGTAATCAGGGATACCATGGACATACCTAAACATATAAAGGCATTACACAGCAAGCCGACAAAGTAAATGGAGAAAAACTCAAAGTGATTCCACTAAAATCAGGAACAAGATAAGGAAGTTTATTTTTTTCTATATCTATTCAATATAGTACTAGAAGTTCTAGCTAAAGCAGTAAGGCAGCAATGTAACATGAAGGCCAGCTTGTTGGGGTATTTGTCCCGCCCGGCACCCCACAACCAGCAATTCCCAAAGAAAATCAATCACACAGAGATCTCTATAAGTTATAAAGCTGATTGGCCCATTAGGTCAGACTTCTTGTTAACTCTTATAAACTTATATCAACCCATTATTCTGATCTATGTTAGCCATATGGCTCAGTACCTTTCTCAGCGTGGCAGCTCACATGTTGCCTCTTCAGTGATCTGTGCAGGAATGGCAGAGGGAGATTCTGCTTCCAGAATACTCCCAGTCTCTTTGCTCCACCCCTACTTCCTGTCTGGCTTTCCTGCCTATACTGCCTGCCTGGCCAATCAGCGTTTTATTAAAATACATGATTGACAGAATACAGATAATTCTCCCACATCATAGCAAAAGGAGATTAAGGAGATACAAATTGGGAAGAAAGAAATCACTTTCACTATTTGCAGATGACAAGATAATATGTATAAGAGACCCCAAAAATTCTACCAGGTAACGCCTACACCTGATAATCATCTTCAGTAATCGGAAGGGGATGCACGATTAACTCAAAAATCCAATTGCTGTTCTTTATACAAATGATAAATTGGTTGGAAAAGAAATCAGGAAACATGAAACTTTACAATAGACACAAATAACATAAAATACCTTGGGCTTAACCCTAAGCAAATCTGAATGATAAGAACTTTTGGTCTCTAACAAAAAAAATAAGAAGATATCAAAAAAATATTCTTTCATGTTTTAGTATAGGTTGGATCAACATAAAAATGACCATTTCAAACAGACTGGATCCCCAAAATCCAGTATATGCAGAGGAAACAAGTCCCAGTGTCATAGTCAATGGCTTTTCAGAAAGACTTCGGGCCAGCCGCATTTAGAGAATTCGGCCAAATTCCGAGAATCTGGTTAGATCACGTCCTCGAGAGAGGGGGGAGAAACTTGAACTTCCCACAGGGTAGGAAACCCTGACTGCCCTAAGGGACGAAGAGGGAGGAGGAGAGGGAGTGGGGGGAGTGGGAGGGTGTTGGGAAGAGGGGTGGAAATGGAAACTTTTATAATTTAATAAAATTACTTTAAAAAAATAACCATTTCATAAAAAACGATCTATAGATTCAATGCAATCACCATCAAAATCTCATGACAATTCTTCAAAGAACGTGAAAGAAACAAACTCAATTTCATAGGGAAAAATCAAAAAACCTAGGGCAGTCCTGACACTCCTGAACAATTTGGGAACCTCCAGAGGCATCAACATCCATGATGTCAAGCTCTGCTATAGAACTATAGTAATAAAAACACCTTGGTATTGGCATAAAAACAGACACGTGGATCATTGAAATCAAATTATGACACCAACACTAATCCACATACTTATGAACACTTAATTTTTGAAAAGGAGCCAAAATTGTACAATGAATAAAGATAGCATCTTCAACAAATGATGCTGGCATAAATGGATATTGACATGTAGAAGAATTCATATAGATCTATATCTAATAGCATGCACTAAACTCAAGAGCAAGATGATCAAGGACCACAAAATAAATCCAATTACATTGAACCTGATAGAAGAAAAAGAGGGAGGTAACCTTGAATACATTGGCACAGGAGATCACTTCCTCAATATAACCCCAGTAGCACAGACACTGAGAGCAACAACTAATAAATGGAACCTCCTGAAACTGAGAAGCTTCTGTAAGGCAAAAGATGTAGTAAATAAGACAAAATGGGAGCCTACTGAATGGGAAAAGCTCTTCACCAACTCCACATCTGACAGAGGGCTGAACTCCAAAATATGTAAAGAATTCAAGAAATCTGCCTTCAAAATACCAAATAATTCAATTAAAAAATGGTCTCTAAACATACCTGCAGCTTGATTTTATGGAGGCATTTTCTCAAATGAGATTTTCTCTTCTCTGATGGCTCTAGCTTGTGTCATGTTGACATAAATCTGGCCAGCTCAGTGCTTCTGTTTTTGACTCTTATTCTTTCAAATTAGGCCGTATTCTGTTTCTTTGGGTTTATTAGTCTAAAGTTTGTCAAGATCCTTAACCTTTTTAAAGAACCAATCTAAGTTTGTGTCTATCATTGATGTATTGAAGTGAGTTTCTTGAAGGCAGCAAAAATTCTAATTGAATTTATTATCAAATAATCTTTGCCACTTTGTTGTAGAATTGAGTCTATTACTAATGAGCAATTACTGAAAGATGGTTATAAATTCCCATTATTTTGTTGTTTTGTGGTATTTCCTTCAATTTTTTAAAAATTGATTAATATTGGTCACCTTTTATTTCTTTATTTAACTATAATTTATGTATAATTACTTTGAGTATTTATTCTTATTTTAAAAAGAAATATGATCCTCAGTCCTGAAAACATATATACAAGTAGCATTTTACAAACTAAACAGGTTATATTTCAGAATACATTTATGAATAAAGCATGAAATAACAGTAAAGAAAAAAGCCATGAGATCCTATTGCTTACGTTCCCATCCCCACTGGCTCCCAGTTCGCCCAGGAGACCTCTTTTATTTTCCCTTCCAAGGGATCCATGAATCCCTGTCTCTACATATGTGTAACAGCTGTGTAGCTTGATCTACTTGTTTGTGTTTTAGCGGTGGAATCTGGGCCTGTCCCTAACACTTTGGTTAGCTTCCAGGAACTTATTCCTCATACTGGGTTGCCTTGCCCAGCCTTAATACTTGGGGAGAAACTCAGTCTGACCTCAATTGGATATGCCATGCTTTGTTGACAGACATGGGAGGCCTGCTACTTTCTGAATAGAAGCATATACTCCAACATATAAGTTGCTCAGTCTTATAATGCTATTGTTTCTATGTTTTCAGAGCTGATCATTTGGTGTTGGATAACTAACTGATAACTGTGCTCCTCCCTGGGGAAGATTATTTCTTCCACTCTCGGCCTTTATTCATGCCATGTAGATCTTGAGTAAGGTTGAAACCTAATGATCTCTTCCTAGTCCAGCTCATCATCTGTATTATCATTTCCCTTGTTCAGTTCATGTTCATGCAGTCATATTGGTAACACTTATGTTACTTCTGACATTATTAGGAGACACAGTTTCAGAGTAAACTCTGATCCTCTGCCTTTTACAATCCTTTAGCTCAATGTTGTGCATGTCTGTGAGCCATGGATGTCGGAATTGTTTGGTAGATGTGTCAGAGGTGACTCAGAGTCCAGAATCCTGCCTTTGATTGGTTGTGGTTTTATCTCATGAATTGTAGCAAAGAAAGTTTCTTTTGTGAGTGGCCAATTGTATTTACCTGTGGGTGTAATGATAAATATTTAATTAGACTATACTCTGGCTTGTTAAAGCAAGGCTTGTAGGTTTTCCATTTAAACTACATTTGTATATTTATGCATGAACTTTTGTATATTATAGGTAGTTATAGATATGTAGTTCATACTATAATTGCTTATGACTCTTTCAGGCATATTTACTGTTATTACAACTAGCATCTTCTTTTGTATTTATTTTCCCCCTCATATTTAGAGTACCATCTACCCAATCAGATCATTTGTACCCCGCTATTTAACTCTCCATTGCTTCACAACCCTATTTCCTGGTTTCTACTGTTAATCTGGGGTGAATATTCACATCTGAAGATTTGGAGCTAGATAGCTCAGAGAAGACAGAACATGTGACATTTGACTTTCTGGGTCTGGGTTACTTAATTTCAAATACTTTTTTTCTACTTTCATCCATTTATGCGTACAGCATTTTCATTATCAATTTATCAGTTAAAGGAGATCTACATATTTCCACTTCCTACCTATTGTGAATAGAACAGCAATGAGAATGACTGAGCAAGTGGCTCTGGAGTGGGATGTTGACTCCTTAGTTCATAGGTCAAGGAATGGTATAGTTGTTTCTTATGGTAGGTGTATTTTTAGCATTTTGAAAATTCTCCATACTGATTTATGGAGTTATTAGACCTGTTGGCAAGACCCTAGCCCAGATAGTTCTTTGCCTGTACCCAAAAGAAGAACTCAGTTATCACACAAAGCCCTGCTATATTTCAAAACTAAAAGATTGAGAGAAAAAAATCATTTAGTTAATGTGTTATTTATCTAGGTTATTATCATATAATGTATATCGAATATTTATAATGACTACAAGTTAATAAGTGACATGCATGACTTACTAAAATACATTTTCAGTAGTAGCATCTATTCTGAAATGGATTGCATGTGAGAAACAGCAAGGGACTCTTTCATTTTTGTTTAAACAACATTTGAGAAAAACACAATGAAAAGTAGGTAATAGTTTCACCTGACTATACTAAGATTTTATGAGAGAAACTTAGTTAATTCATCAAAATGATGAGTTTTTCCTAGATTGTGTTTTGTTCTTAAAACATTTCAAAGAATTCTTTTCAGGTCTTAGGAGTATTATGTAGCACTTTGGAAAAAAGATGCATCCTAGCAGCCCTGCAGTGGACACCAAGATGGAAAAGATCTCCACAGTTACCATGGTCCTGTCCTTGGTGCTGTGGTAGACAGGGAGGAAGGTGACCCAGACACTGCAGAACACCAGCATGCTGAATGTCAGGAACTTGGCTTCATTGAAGGTGTCAGGCAGATTCCTAGCCAGAAAAGCCACAGTGAAGCTCACTAGGGCCAGGATCCCCAAGTATGCCAGCACAGAGTAGAAACCAGTGACAGAGCCCTTATTGCACAAAATGATGATGTGACCATGTTCAGAGTGTGCATCTTCTTCAATATAGGGAGGCGAAGTTCCCAGCCAGAATCCAAGGAGAATAATCTGGATCAGGACACAGATGGGGATGACATAGTTATAGACGCCTGAGAGAAAGAACCTTTTCAGTGTTCTTCCTGGTGCCATGATTCTAAAGGCCAGAATTACCGTTATAGTTTTGGTCAAGACAGTGGAAAGAGCCAGAGTGAACACCAGAGCAAATGTAATTTGTTGCAATATGCAGGAGGCTGTGTTTGGCTGACCAATGAAGAGAAATGGGCACAGAAAGCAGAGGAGGAGGGAGATGAGCAGGATGAAGCTGAGAGTCCGATTATTGGCCTTCACGATGGGTGAGTCTTGGTGCTTGAGAAAGATTCCCAAAACTACAGCTGTGATGACAGACAAGCACAGAGCTATGCAGGCCAGAGCCATGCCCAGAGAATCCTCCAAGGACAGGAATATCACTGACTTGGGCAGGCAGCTGTTTCTCTCAGGGTTTGGGTACTCTTGAATTGGGCAAGGGATACACTCCTGCTGATCTATGGGAGGAAATGAACCAACATGTCAGCTTCTTCAATTATTTACTCATTTCATATTCATGCTACAAAGAATGCCTTCCACTGTTGCTGTTTGTAGCCTGACACATTCTGCTTTACTTTAGCGCCAAGAAGGACAAGAACTATTTAATTGATTGATTAATTAATTAATTAAAATTCCACCTTTTTCCCCCTCTCTTTTCCCTCTCCCTCCCCTGCTGCACCCAGTAGAAACCAACTGCCAGAAGGCCAACTTGAAACTTGGAGAGAGACACCAAACTAGACCAGAGGTCACACCAGCCACAAGAAACCTAGGGCACAAAGACTAGAAAACCAAAGAGAAAATAGAAACTAAAAAGTAAAATACCCACTCAAGAAAGGCAAACTCAGAAATCAGTAACTGGAGCTAATCATCCCAAACCCAGATTCCTAAATGTCAATATAAAAATCAATGCCAGTCAGGGCAATAAGGCACCACCACAGCCCATATACTTTATGATAACAAACATGAGTATTCAAACAAAGGCAAAGCAGAATAAAATGAACTTCAAGCAGCTTTATTGAGGATGATAGATATCCTTAAAGACAAAATGAAAAACTCCCTTAAGAAATCAAGAAAAAAGTAACCAAAAAATTAGAGCAAATCAACTAATCCGTAAAAAATGCCAAGAAAAGGTATGTAAAAGAAACAGTTGAAAATTGAAATAGAAGCAATAAACAAAACACAATGTGAGGGAATTCAGAAAATGGAAAATGGGTGCATGAACAGGAACTACAGATGCAAGTATCACCAACAGAATACAAAAGATTGAAGAGAGAATCTCAAGCATTGAAGATACAATAGAAGAAATAGATTCCTTGGTCAAAGGAAATGTCAAATCCAACAAATTTCTAACATAAACACCAAGAAATCTGGGACACTATAAAAAACCCAAGTCTAAAAATAACAGTAATAGAAGGTGAAAAATCTCAGCATTAAAACCTAGAAAATAATTCAGCAAAATTATAGAAGGAAATTTCCCTAACTTGAAGAAAGATATAACTAAAAAGGTACAAGAAGCCTACAGAACATCAAATAAATAGATTTGATTAGAAGGGAAAATCACGTATCACATAATAATGGAAATGGTAAATGAACAGAACCAAAAAAGACTATTAAAAGCCAGAAGGGAAAAAGGCCAAGTAACATATAAATGCAGACCTATATGAATTCCACTCAACTTCTCTAAGGAGACTTTAAAAGTCAGAAGAGCCTGGAAATATGTTTTGCAGACGCTAAGAGATTACAGATGCCAGCCTAGACTAATAAACACAGAAAAATTTTAATCACCATAGTTGGAGATGGGAAGACAATATATTCCATTAGAATGTTAAATTTAAATATCTACCCACAAATTCAGGCCTACAGAAATTACTAAAAGAAAAACTCTAACTCAAGGGAAATTAACTTCACCCATGAAGACACAGGCAATAGATATTCTCACACTAGCAAAACCCAAAGAAGGAACACACACACACACACACACACACACACACACACACGTACACACACACACACACACACACATACACAAACACACTACCACTACAACCATGAACAACAATATAATAACAAGAATTAACAATTACTTGTAATTAATATGTCTCAATACCAAAGCACTCAATTTCCCAATAAAAAGACATGGGCTTACAGAATTTAACAAAACAGGATACATCCTCCTGCTGCATACAAGAAACACACCTCAACATCCAAGATAGACATTACGTCAGAGTAAAGGATTAAAAAAATATTTTTCAATGAAATGAACCTAACAAACAAGCTGCTGTAGTTATCCTAATATGTAGCAAAATACACTTCAAAAAAAGTTAATCAAAAGAAATGGAGAAGGGCATTACATACTTGTTCAAGGAAAAATCTACCAGGATGATATCTCAATTCTGAATATATATGTCCCAAGTGCAACAGCATCCATATTTGTGAAAGAAACGTTATTAAAGCATAAATCACACATTGAACCCCACACATTAGTAGTGGCAGATTTCAACACCCCACTCTCACTCTGACATTTCATCGAAACAGAATCTAAACAGAGAAATAATGGAATTAATAAATTTTATGTTTCAAATGGACGTGAAAGAAATTTACAGATTTTTTTCCTTTTTTTTACTATTTATTTATTCATTTATTTATAAAAATTTCCACTTCCTCCCCTCCTCCCAATACCCTCATTCTCCCCCCACTCCCTCTCCTAATCCCTCTCCAGTCCTAAGAGCAGTCAGGGTTTCCTGCCCTGTGGGAAGTTCAAGTTCCTTCCCCCTCCCTCCAGGTCTAGAAAAGTGAGCATCCAAACAGACTATGATCCCAAAAAGCCAGCCCATGCAGACGAAACAAGACCCAGTGCCATTGTCAATGGCTTCTCAGTCAGCCCCCATGTCAGCCACATTCAGAGAATCCGGTTTGATCACATACTCATTTAGTCCCAGTCCAGCTGGCCTTGGTGAGCTCTCATTAGATCAGTCCCCTTGTATCAGTAGCTGAATGCCCCCTTCCCGGTCCTGACTTTCTTTTTTATGTTCTCCCTCCTTCTGCTCCTCATTTAGACCTTGGGGGCTCAGTCCAGTGCTCCAATGTGGGTCTCTGTCTCTATCTCCATCCAACGTCGGATGAAGGTTCCCTATGATCCTGCCTTCCTTTCTCACGTTCTCCCTCCATATGCTTCTCATTTTGACATAGGGAGTTAAGTCCAGTGTTCCAAAGTGTGTCTCTGTCTCTATCTCCATCCATCGCCAGATGAAGGTTCTATGGTGATATGCAAAATATTCATTAGTATGATTATGGGCCAAGGCCAGTTCAGGTACCCTCTTCTCTGCTGCCCAGGGAACAATCTGGGAACCTCTCCTTGTGCCTGGGAACCCATCCAGAATCAAGGCTCTTGCAAACACTAAAATGGCTCCCTTAGTTGAGATATATACCTCCCTGCTCCCATATCCATCATCCCTCCCTCCCCCCAACCCCATTCCCCGAAGCCATCCCCAATCCTTTCTCTCTTCCTTCTCTCTAACCATCTCCCCTTACTTCTATCCCTCCACCCCCAATGTGCCCAAGTTTTCCTGGAAATCTTGTCTACTTCCAATATCCAGGAAAATAACTATATGATTTTATTCAGGTTCACCTTCTTATTTAGCTTCTCTAGGATCACGAATTATAGGCTCAAAGACCTTTAACTATGGCTAGAATCCACTTATGAGTGAGTACATATCATATTCCTCTTTTTGGGTATGGGTTACCTCACTCAGTAAAGCATTTTCTATTTTCATCCATTTGCATGCAAAATTCAAGATGTCATTGGTTTTTTTTACCCCTGAGTAAAACTCTAATGTGTATATGTTCCACACCTTCTTTAACCATTCTTCTATTGAGGGGCACCTAGGTTGTTTCCATGTTCTGGCTATTACAAATAGTGCAGCAATCAACATAGTTGACCAAAAGCTTTTGTAGTATGATAGGGCATCTCTTGGGTATATTCCCAAGAATGGAATTGCTGGGTCCTGAGGGAGATTGAATCCCAGTTTCCTGAGAAACCGCCACACTGATTTCCACAGTGACTGCACAAGTTTGCATTCTCACCAACAATGGATGAGTGTTCCCCTCACTCCACATCCTCTCCAGCATAGGCTATCATTGGTGTTTTTGAGTTTAGCTATTCTGACAGGTGTAAGATGGTATCTCAAAGTTGTTTTGATTTTCATTTCCCTGATCGCTAAGGAGGTTGAGCATGACCTTAAGTGTCTTTTGGCCATTCGAAGTTTATCTGTTGTGAATTCTCTGTTCTGTTCAGTACCCCATATTTTCATTTGGTTAATTAGAGTTTTAGTGTCTAGTTTCTTGAGTTCTTTGTATATTTTGGAGATCAGACCTTTGTCTGATGAGGGGTTGGTGAAGATCTTCTCCCAGTCGGAAGGTAGCATTTTTGTCTTACTGACAGTGTCCTTTGCATTACAGAAGCTTCTCAGTTTCAGGAGGTCCCATTTATTCATTGATTCTCTTATTGTCTGTGCTACTGGGGTTCTACTTAGGAAGTGGTCTCCTGTCCCTTTGTCTTGTAGACTACTTCCCACTTTCTCTTCTATCAGTTTCAATGTGGTCAGATTAATGTTGATGTCTATAATCCATTTGGATTTGAGTTTTGTGCAAGGTGATAGATATGGATCTACTTTCATTCTTCTGCAGGTTGACATCCAGTTATGCCAGCACAATTTTTAACAAATGCTTTCCTTCTTCCATTGTATACCTTTAGCTCCCTTGTCGAAAATCAGGTGTTCATAGGTTTGTGGGATAATATCCGGGTCTTCTATTTGATTCCATAGTTCGACTTCTCTGTTGTTATGCCAATACCACGCTGTTTTCAATACTGTTGCTCTGTAAAAGGAAATGCAAATCAAAACAACTTTTAGATATCATCTTACATCTTTGAGCCTATTATTCGTGATCCTAGAGAAGCTAAATAATAAGGTGAACCTGATGAAAATCATGTAGCTATCCGTCTGGAGATTGGAAATAGAGAAGAGTCCCAGGTAACCTCGGGTGCATGGGGTGGGGGGTGTGAGCGTTGTTGGAAGGGGAGAGGGTTAGAGAGACGGGAGTAGGGGAGGAATGGGGAAAGCTCGATGGACTGGAATGGGGGGAGGGAGTAAGGATGGATATGGGATCAGGGAAGAATATATTTCAACTAAGGGAGTCATTTTAGGGTTTACAGGAGACTTGATTATAAATGGGATCCCAGGTCCAAGGAGAGATCCCCAGATTGTTCTCTAGACAGAAGAGAGGGTGCCTGAAACGACCTTGGCCCATAACCTTACTGATGAATATTTTGCTTATCACCATAGCACCTTCATCTGGGGATGGATGGAGATAGAGACAGAGACCCACATCGGAACACTGGACTTAACTCCCTAGGTCCAAACGAGAAGCAGAAGGAAAGAGAACGTGAGCAAAGAAGGCA